ATGCTACGGAAATACGAGCCACACTCTTCTCACATCATCAATTGGGAGGAAATTAACCTTGATGATGATGTGACATTTCAAGAAAAGCCTGTCAAAATTTTAGATCGTCGCGAGAAGAAATTACGAGGTAAAAATATACCGTTGGTTTGAGTTCTCTAGAGACATCGTGGGACAGAAGAGTCAACGTGGGATCGAGAAGATATGATACGTGCCAATTACCCTCAGCTTTTCGAGTCTAAAGGTACGAATTAATTTTGAGGATGGAATTTTTTTTAGGAGGGTAGATTGTGAAAACCCCACATTTAATTATTCTTAAAAGAAAATTAATTAATTAATTAATTAATTAATTTTGTCTACAGTCTATCTGAATTGTATATTAGTGTAAAAGTTAGTTTTAAATCGACTCAATTCAATCACTAACAAAGACATTATTAAGAATAATAATTTTGTAGGTATTCAATATTTGTTGTTTATAAATTATTTTAATTAGGATTCAATATAATAATTATTCTTACTAAATACCTTAGTTAAAAATATTAGTGTATCAATTTTTAGAAACCCACACAAATACAAAAAAAAAAAAAAAAAAAAAAAAAAAAAAGGAAAAAAAAATATTTAAAAAAATTTAAAATCTTAGTGTATCAATTTTCAGAAACCCACACAAATACAAAAAAAAAAAAAGAAAAAAAAAAGAGGGGAATCAAACCTTTGCAGATATTCGGTGGAGGCTTTCCACATGTTGGTTTGCATGCTTGTTAGGGAAAAAGAGCTGATTATGCTCTTGGAATTAAGGAAAAGAGAACTTAGAATGAAGAGAAAGAAAGAGAGCGAGAGAGAGAGAAAGAGAGATGTGCTTAACAAGTATTGTATATATATATGCATGCAAGCATTCATTGTATATAGACGTGCATGCAAGGATTCGGTGAAAAAAAAAAAGAAGAGAGAAATCTCTGAAACAACCAAACTTAGTAGTAGGAGAGGAAGAAGAGTAGGAGATTAAGGAAGCCAAAATTCTCAACTATTTGGTCAACCGACAACTAAGTAAGAAAACCCTCTTAACCCTCTCATTTCTTTTTATTAGTGAAACTTTCAGATTACTTCCTTGTAATTAAAATGACTACTCATAAATAGAAATTTTATATGTATGTGTAGGAATTTTGTGATGAAAATAGTCTGTTTTGAATCTGTCAGAATGTTACCCGAATTTTTAGACAATTTTATACTCAAAATTTTGTAGATGATTTCTTCTACAAAGTTGTTGATAATGATGTCTAGTTCATCCAGAAATTTTTGGCAACAATTTTTGAGCTTTCTACGAATTTATACAAATTTTTAACTAAATCTGAAACTGTGTTGAGAATAATCTGTTTTGAATCTGCCAGCATGTTTACCCGAATTTTTAGATAGTTTTATACTCAAACTTTTGAGATGATTTCTTCTACAAAATTATTGATAATGATGTCTAGTTTATCCAGAAAGTTTTGGAAACAATGTTTGAGCTTTCTACGAATTTATACAAAATTTTAACTAAACTTTGTTGAGAATAATCTTTTTTGAATTTGTCAGCATGTTTACCCGAATTTTTAGATAATTTTATACTCAAAATTTCGAGATGATTTCTTCTACAAAGTTGTTGATAATGATGTCTAGTTTATCTAGAAATTTTTGGAAACAATTTTTGAGCTTTCTACGAATTTATACAATTTTTTAACTAAATCTGAAACTGTGTTGAGAATAATCTGTTTTGAATCTGCCAGCATGTTTACCCGAATTTTCAGATAATTTTATACTCAAAATTTCGAGATAATTTCTTCTAAAAGGTTGTTGATAATAATGTCTAGTTTATCCAGAAATTTTTGGCAATAATTTTTGAGCTTTCTACGAATTTATACAAATTTTTAACTAAATCTGAAACTGTGAGACAAATTTTACTATGTATTTGAAAATTTATTTAAAATTCTCTACTAAGCCAAATCTAGTAATTTCTAACTAAAAGATGACATTTGAGAAGTCTAGTTTCATTATTGGTTAGTAAGTTAAACCTCTTTGGTGAGATTTCAAGGGTTACCTAAGTTATTAAAATTATTTGAATTGTTTTAATGGCTGTAATCTATGTTTGCGATTATATTTTTATCTCGTGTTTATAATCTCATTATTTTTCTCAAAAAGAATGGTAGGTTGGTTATGTTTTCTTACTGTGTTGCAAAACTCATGGCATATATTTTGTTGCCTTGGCGTTTCATGCCAGATTATGTCGAAGAAGGGACTGAGGCTGAAATTGGAGCTGCTTCCAATATCGAACCTTCGCTAACTTAGAGTTAAGATTTTATCAAAATAAAATCCTGTTATCCCTTGTATTAGGATTTAACTATGTTGTGACATTGTGTGTGAACTTGTAGTTTTATTTTGTTGTTGGACTTTGACTATGTAAGAACTTAAAAGTTCCTAATTAGTAGTTAAAATTTTATCTAGCAAGTTATTGTTATTTAAATCTTATGACGTTTCAAAAAAAATTTGGGGCGTCACAGCTTGGTATCAAAGCCTAGGTTTGAACCTTTGGGCCATGGGTAGTAGTTTATTATTTTTACATTTAAGAAAACCTTACGTTAATTTGTAATTTTTGGTGACTTAACTAAGTTAGAACCTTTTAATTGTAGGATGCCGGGGTCATCAGACATTAACTCTAACGAGGAAAATTCGGTAGAAAACTATGACATAGAATCTGACCCAAGTGAAGAAGTAGAGATGCCTATAGAAGACTATGAATCTGAGCCTGAGCTTGACCCTGAACCTGATCCTGAACTTGAGCCTGAACCTGAGTCTGAAGAAGTTGTACCAATATACAACCCCCTGGGGGTTATTGTGATTGAGTCAGACACTGAAGATGAGTCTATAGAAGGCCATACCAAGGAGAGCACTGGAGATGTAGGAGCCACATTTGAGGGTTGGGATGTGCTAAATGGGTTGCAAATTGGTTTTTTTTGTATATGTCAGACTTTATCCCCTAGGAGGTTGTGCTTGGAAAACTGAGAGATGGGTGGGTACCTATATCGGACCTGTCTAGATTTTAAGACAAGAGACTCCCTGGGTATATCAACTAGGCCCCTTTCCGGATGGTTTCACCGATAGGGTGGGCGACCTTTTTGATTTTTGGAGCCTTCAGTTTATCATGCCCGACCCAAGCAGAATTGTGAGGAGAGATGGGTCAGTGGACTTCAGAGACTGGAGGACCTATTGGGAGGAGCCGGTGCTGCTGCTAGGGCATCGTGTGTGCAAAATTGCTATCTTCGTAAGGGTGCTGTGGCGATTCATGGACTTTTCCAAGCCACGTGGGAGCCGGAGGCCCTGGTGTGGAGAGACTTTCCTTGGCTATTTTAAGGGGTCTTAAGGGAACTATAAACTAGGCTAACTGATTGTTTTGTATGCTCATATGTTAAAATTGCCTAGTTTAGAATTGTGAGTGTAGGAGTTAACTCGAATTGTAGGGGCTATCTCTTGCCCGTAGTATGTTATTTAATCTTTTCCTTTGTTTTATTTGCATTTTTTTAATTGTAGCTTGTCTAATATAATTAATGAAGTCTTTTTTTTTTTTTTAAACTATCTTTGCACATAAGTATAATAATAATAATGATAATAAATAAATGAATAAATCACAAGAAAATCTCATCATGCAGAATGGCTGGACGAACAAGAAATAATAACAACGGTAATGGTGATGGAGTGCCTGATGGCGATGTCGCTCGAATTATACGCGCGATTGCTGATAGGGTAGGCAATATACCACCCCGAAACCAAGATCAAAACAAATCGGAGATGATAGCAAAATTTGAAAAGCTACGTCCCCACAAATTCCTTGGTGAATCAAACCCCCATGAAGCTGAAGCATGGTTAAGACAAATTAAGAAGTTGCTAGATACTTCCGACATCCGAAATGAACAAGATAGAGTGACCATGGCGGCATTTAAAATGGAAGGGGAAGCAGATCATTGGAGGAAAATGATCAAAAGTACTCGACAAGTAGAGACATTAACTTGGAGACAGTTCGAAGACCTGTTCATCGAAAAGTATTTTCCTAACTTGCTAAGACAAGAAATGATTCAAGAGTTCCTCCAACTGAAACAAGGAAAAATGTCAGTCACTCAATATGCGAACCGTTTTGAAGCTCTTTCACGGTACGCTTCAGCCATAGTAGCAAATGAAGAGGATAAGGTTAGGCGATTTGAATGGGGTTTGGACACAGACATTAGAGGAAGATTGATCGCAGTGCAACTCTCCACCTATGCCCAAATGGTGGATCGAGCTTTAATTGTGGAACGAGAGTTAGCAGATTCTGAACGCATTCGAAATCAGCGATCAAGGAACAACAACCAACCACGCCAAAGGGGCCCAGTCCGCAACACCAGAGACCATCCTACGCCAGCACCTTATGCCGGAGGGTTGCAGCAGCAAATAAGACAGAATCGAGGAAACCAGCAAGGAGGAAACTTTGTAAATGAGTGGAAAGGAAAATGTTTCAAATGTGGTCAGCAAGGGCATCGTTGAAGTGAGTGTCCTCAGGGTGGGGAGTATTTTACGGATCAGCGAGGGGCACAACAATACAACAAATGCCAGCCAAGGCAAGGTTCTAAGCCTACTCAAAATACTCAGGCCAACAAGGGGTAGCCACAAGCCTCTAGGAATGCAGGCCGACCAAGAACACAACCACAAGGAGCTGGAAATGGAAGAAACCAGGAGAGACTAACCAGCAAGCAGTAGGGAGAATGTATGCTCTCCAAGAAGAAGAAGATGTTGATAACCCATCAGTAATTCAAGGTATGTTAATCCTTATGAATTCCTGGGTTAAAGTATTGTTTGATTCTGGAGCTTCGCATTCTTTTATATCCACTGCATGTATGACAAGTTTGGGTTTAAAGCCAGATTTTCTTTTTTTTTGGCTGTTATTCTAAAATATAGCATAACATAGCTAAATAATTTAATTAAAATTTAACTAAAATTTAGCATAACACGACCAAAGAATTTAACTAAGAAGAAAGTTTGAGAATTTAACTACCTGTATACAAGAGCAATGGTGTGTACAATCTGTGATTTGGCAAAAGAAAATCACTAGAAATTCAATCTTATACCACTCTTGAAGCTGCTCTCACCAAAAAATCAAAGAACCAAGAAATCAAAGAAAATAAAAAAAAAAATAACAAGGTATGAGGCTCTTGGAACAGTTTTTCAGCTCTTCCTCCAGTATGCTCATACCACAATGACATCCTATTGCAATTTCAGTGTCTAGTTGCCCATCCATGGATTGTTGGAACTCCATTATTTTTATTTGTTTCCTACAATTACAATTAAAATCAAGTAACAAAATCAAAATATACAATTTCAATTTGAAACATAAAGAAACTATATACCTTTACTCGAACAACTGAGATGTTTTTCTGCCGGTCATGTGATTTAATGTCTTCTTCAACTAAATTGGTGTTCCTTTCTTTCTTTCTTTTCTTTTCTTTTTTAATGAAAACATGGAAAGTAAATACAGGCAGAGATTGGTAACAAAAAACATTTTTTCATGTATATACAGGCAGAGATTGGTAACAAAAAACAAAACAAAAGAAGAGGGGGTTGGGATAGAAAGGAGAAAAAAAAATTACTAGCTTATCTAGATAACTTACGAAGGTTCAAGATCACGGTGAATTATTGCTTCGGGTCTATTCTCATGCAAGTAATTCATCCCCCTGAAAAAATCACCAAAAAATTATGTAAGTAGAAGTATTGAAGTCAAACTGCAGGTAACACCAAATAAATATAATCTACAGCATTCAATGAGCTAAAGAGGAAAAAAAAAAGAAAAGAAAAGAGGAGCCATAAATTGATTGAACCTTTGGCACGTGTCCAGCAACTCAATTTAAGAAATCCTAGTCCGATATAATGTTGAAAAGTAATTTTTCATTCTCAAACAAATAATCTAGAACCTCAAAAGATGTTTTTGGCATCTTAACATCTCAAGGAAAGACAGCAAGGCCTAAATAAACAAAATCAATTGTTCAGAACTTCAAACAGAAGACTAAAAAGTGTTGTTGTCAAAGTTTGATCCACATCAACCTTTCCAAATCATTTGTATTAAAGTGAGTTCTATCGAGGAATTAGATGACTACAAATGTAGGGTGTGAGATTCACAGTTGTTCAAGCTTCACAAAAGAAAAGATTACCAATTCCAGCAATGTCTTTTGCAGAAATGTATCAAAATCTCAGCCCCTTCAATCATTTTCAACTCTTGTTACTTGCAACCCTATTAATAAAACAGAGCTCCCTCCAACCTTTAGTATGTTTACATTATGTGTCCCAACTCCAAAAATCATTTCTACCAACCACAACATATACATTGGTGTTACTATTTAGTTTTTGTCACTAATGGATTGTTATGTTTTGCACCAATGGTATCAACTATATCCATTGTTGCCAAAACAACTTTTTACAGCATTGTTGCAAGAATTATTGTATAACATGTGCCAAAATCAATTTACTTTATTTTCTTCAATATATATAGGATTGTTCAACATTATTTTTATATAGTTTATCCTAAATCTTATGATTCTCTATTCGATCCATGATTTGCAAAATTATGGTTTTGATTCATGATATGCTTCCCAATTTGACAACTATGCTCTGATCTCGTTTTTAATAGTATTAGTACTATGAACTTCTTCTGGTGCAAATGACCAACCAACTGCATATAAAATGGTCTGATTTTAATCACAACCATTTGTAACAAACCTTCTACCTAGTTTGCAGTTAGAAAAACTATAGAAAAACTATGGATAAATCTTACTTGCAAGCGACTGTGAACATCCAACATGAAGTCATGAAAATGAATCCTCTTTTTCCTCCAGCTGCTAGGCCTGAGAAGGAAGAAGTAAGAATTCATAGATGAAACCAGTGAATGGTAACTGCTTTCATATTCCCTCCGCTTTAATCCTATGGCGTACAATTTGTAGATAAGTCTCAAAATTTCATGTCAATGTTATGGTAACTCATAAGGAAATCAAATTATAGCAAAGTAAATATGAGAAATAAACTTACAATTGATCAAAAAATAAGTCCATCAGCATATTTTTTCCTGTTCCTACTCCTCCATAGAGATAAAGTCCTTTCATAGGTGAGCAAGACAATTGAAGAATGAAATGGGACAATAACCACCTACTCCTAAAAATGAAATAAACAGCAAATCAATGGCAATGTAGTAAAACTTGACAATTGCCATTATCTTATTAGAGATAATGGTATCAATGAGATAACAATTTGTCATATAATCAATTGATTCAGAATGCTAGATATTGGAAAGAAGATAAACAATTTACCTGCTGCCTTTCTTAGAAGCAGAATAGCGATCTAACCAGCAGGTGTGAGCTGAATCAACAAGCTCATCATAGAGTCTCTGAAGCTCTCTTAAGGTGCCTACCTGCAGAATCTCTGTCAGTATATCCTCCCCCAATAACTGATTCTAACAAATGCAAGACATCATCAAAAAGGTAAACTTTTGATTGAATATAAGAAGCTAAATCATTTTAAGAAAATTCAGAATAATATTATCAATTTATAACTTTCAGATAAAGTTGTATGCCCATCCAGTTACCCTCATCAATGCTTAAGGCACATTACAAACTACTCTCTTTTCCTTATGAAAACTTAAAAACAAGTATGAATGAGTGCATTGATTGCCATACCTGACAACTATCACCATCCACAAGTTCACCTGCGGTAATTCTACGTTCATACTCAACCAGAGACATGTGAACATAGTGCTAAAAGATTATTATAACTAGATTGAAAAGGTAAAAAGAATATCATAAGAAGCAAACCTTCACTGGTTACTTTAGCAACATCAGCAGATAGAGCTCTTGAGATCATATAGGAGGGATGGGTATTTCTACAAATTTCGGCATTGTAGGAGAGCTTGTAGACAGAACCAAAACTTGCACAAGCCAAATAATTCTGTTTTCTTACTAACCCACTTAAGACATCATCTTCGACCCAGGCCTCCAATTAGAATTACTCAAATCATGATTGTGTAAAAGAGCTTTTATAATTACAAGTGTTTCACAGAACCAATAAAAATAGCAACAAAAAAAACAAATTATATATTGCTATCAGAATGATCATGGTATATTCTCTCAAGTACAGATAATCAATAATCATTGCACATTTACGAAACTCAGAAAAGAATCAATAAAAATTTATAAACAGTGACAAAAAAAGGTAACCAGAGTTCAATTATTAAAAATATAAAACAGGAACTAGAAATCAAAAATTACATAAGAAAATTGGGTAAAAAATAAATATATACATCATAAAAGAAGATATAAAAATTATCCAAGTATAAATAAAAACATTTAGCCTACTGAGAGGGGAAAAAAACTACAAATTATCAACAAAGCTTGGAAAATTGAAATCTTACAACAAGATTGCAAATTGGAAAAAATGGGGGGAATATCAAAACATAAATACACTTTTTTTTATAATTTATTTATTAGGGACTGAACAATCAAAGTCAAAACAATTCAAAAAAGAAAAAGTCAAACCAGGGAGAAGTAGATTGAGGGTAACAAAGGTCAAAATTCACCTCTCCAATCTCACCTCAAATACGAAGGTAGAAAGGGATCCAGCCCATTTACTTGCCAAAACCCTCAATGCCCTGTATGTTGCCAACAAGGATCAAATAGCAAGCAGAACTTTTCACTTTAAATTTAAATCACTAAAGCTCATTACCTCAATAATAGTTCAATATGAAAACTTACTCTCATAATCATACCATAGTTCATTCCAATAAAGATTTAACTCTTAGCACTTAAAAAACACGAGTCAGCCAAAGGTGTTTTGTAGTTACTGTTTACATCACCAAAACTTTATGTTTCTTGCATTATAAACCTAAAAGTCCTTTTGCCTCGTCTTTAAAATACCTAGAAAACCATTCCTAACAACCATATCCACCAAGCTTTAACACATAAATATCGCCTTATATCAGCCTTATTACTGCTGTTCTACATTAAGTTTGGTATCGTAGCTACTAGGTGGATGTTGTTCTGCATTTTTCCATATCAAGAAATGTGGCATTTGGTTCTCTTTCTATTGTTTCTCCTTTATTAAGTAGTAAGGTTATGGGCAACATCACTGAATTCACATGCTGTTTTTTTATATGTTATTATTCACCAATGTAACAAAAGTTTTTAAAAAAGATCAGTCACAGGAAGGCTGCATTATGACAAAGCTGTGTGTTCCATCTTGGTCTCAACTCTCAATATGCCAACAAAAGTTTTTTAAAAAAGATCAGTCAAATGAAGGTTGCACTATGACAAAGCTGTGTGTTCCATCTTGGTCTCAACCCTCAATTTCTATCAGGACTTAATTTTCTATTTGGCTGGTTGATTTATGTGGATATGTATTTCTAAAATCTATTTTACAGGTCAATTTCTATTCCAATGTTTAACTACAATCAAACAATAACATTTTGTCCATCCAACATTGCCAAATTCTACACCTGAAATGTTTCTTTATCATTAGTATTAAAACAAAATCACAGAAAACTAAAAAATATAATAGCAATTATGAATCCAGATAAAAATAAAGCAGCAGCACAACCTAGACTTATAATCGGGGTAATTATCAGAAGAAATGTAAACGAAAAAAAAAATTTAAAGAAGATTGAGTAGATTAGAAAGAAACATTTAGCAGCTTCATGTGTGTGCGTGAGAGAGAGGTGAGATACATCTACCAAATCCAAAACAATGAACTCAAAACAATGAGAACACACACACACACACATATATATATCAAATAGATTTGAAAAATCAGAGATCTGAGTTCATACAAAACAAATGCATATATAATAAAAACTTACAGATCTGAGTTCTACAACAAAAAGAAGCGACCGACTGAGCGAGATCTGCAACAATACAGAGCAGCAACAAACTTACAGATCTTCAAAAAAGGGGGGGGGGCGCTAAACGAGCTTCAAAATCTGGATTGACCAAAGGACCAAAATCGAAACTCACAAAATCGAAAGAGAGGAGAACCAAAATCGGAAGATAAGCGCCAATCTAGTGACCAAAATCTGCAACAAGTTCTGAAATCGAACGACAAAGAGTGTTTGAAATCGATTGAGTTTGTTTGAAATCGAGCGAGAGTGAGAGCTTCAAATCAGTGAGAGCGAGGGTTTCTGAGCTTCAAATCAGTGAGAGCGAGGGTTTCTGAGCAAGAGAGTGAGTTTGTTTGAAATCGAGCTTCAAATTGAGAGTTTCTGAGTTTTGGAAGAGAGAGAGTGAGCTGTGGAAGAGTGAGACTAAGTGAGAGTGAGAGTGAGAGTGAGAGTGCGAGACGGTTTGAAAGGGACGGAGTTTTGAACGGTGTGAACTAATGGACCCAAAACGGTGCTGTGTAACTAAGATCCAGAGACAACGTTTTCAAAACGTTGTGTATCATTAATCTATAATGGCGTTTTCCTAATCGCCATAAAACAAGCGTTGTCGTACGCCCTATTTCCTGTAGTGAGGTATGTTAATCCTTATGAATTCTTGGGTTAAAGTATTGTTTGATTCTGGAGCTTCGCATTCATTTATATCCACTACATATGTGACAAGTTTGGGTCTTGAGCCAGAGATGCTAGGGATAGCTATGAGTGTTGCTTCGCCCTTAGGAGGTCAAACCCGAGTAAATCTAGTATGTAAATCTTGCGAGCTAGAAATCTCCGGTTCATATTTGATCTGTGATCTAAGAGTTATGGATATGTCTGATTTTGACGTCATCCTAGGAATGGATTGGTTGTCAGTTCATCGAGCCATTATTGATTGTTATTGTAAGACAGTGACAGTATCCCCCCTTAACGGCACGAAAGTTCAATTTAAAGGAGATAGACAAGATTCTCTAACTCCAACGTGTCGCCAGTCGCGATGGCATGATCAACTAAACGGATGGTTGGCAAGCCTAATTTTGGAAGATGAAAATCAAAAGGATCCAGGATTACCCCCATGTGGTGTGCGAATACGTTGACGTTTTCCCTGATGAATTACCGGGATTACCCCCAAAACGAGACGTAGATTTCACAATTGAGCTTCAACCTGGGACTTCACCGATTTCAATATCACCACATCGTATGGTGCCAGCTGAACTTCGGGAATTGAAGGAGCAGTTGCAAGAACTGTTGAATAAAAAGTTCATCAGACCAAGTACGTCTCCTTAGGGAGCGCCAGCATTATTCGCGAAGCAGAAGGATGGAACCTTAAGATTATCGACAACTAAATCGAGCCACCATTAAAAATCGATATCCCTTACCCAGAATTGATGACTTGTTCGATCAATTAAGAGGTTCAAAACGTTTTTCCAAAATTGAACTTAGGTCAGGATACCACCAACTTCGTGTCAGAGGAGAAGATATACCCAAAACTGCATTTCGAACCCGTTATGGCCATTACGAGTTTGTGGTAATGCCATTTGGTTTGACAAATGCTCCTGAGGTATTCATGAGTTTAATGAACAAAATTTTATTTGGACCAATTTGTGGTAGTATTCATTGACGATATTTTGATATACTCACGATCGGAGGAAGACCACGAGCAACATCTAAGAACCGTTTTGCAAATTCTAAGAGAGAACCAATTGTATGCTAAGGCTAGCAAATGTGAATTTTGGTTGAAGGAAGTAAAATTTTTAGGTCATGTTGTGTCTGAATCAAGGATATCAGTGGATCCTACTAAAGTAGCAGCAGTAATGGGGTGGAAACAACCTAAGAATACGTTTGAGGGTTGTAGTTTCTTGGGATTAGTAGGTTATTATAGGAGATTCATTCAGGATTTCTCCAAATTAGCCAAGCCGATGACACGCCTAACGCAAAAAGGAGTAAAGTTTGAATGGAACGAAGCGTGTGAACAGTCATTTCAAGAACTCAAGAAGAGACTAACAAGCGCTCCTATATTAGTCATACCCGAACGTGACGTTGGGTACACTGTTTATTGTGATGCCTCTAAGGAAGGGTTAGGTAGTGTGTTAATGCAAAACGGGAAGGTAGTAGCTTACGGATCAAGACAATTGAAGAATCATGAGAGAAATTATCCTACTCACGATCTGGAGTTGGCGGCTGTGGTCTATGCACTTAAGACTTGGCGACATTACCTTTATGGCGAAAAATTTGAGATATTTACCGATCACAAAAGCTTGAAGTATTTGTTCACACAAAGAGATTTGAACATGAGGCAGAGACGCTGGATGGAGTACCTTGAAGATTACCAATTCACTTTGTCTTATCATCCCGGGAAAGCTAATGTTGTAGCAGATGCACTAAGTCGAAAGACAAGAGAGATTGTAGCCAACATATCAATTAAAGAGTGGGACATGGTAAGCACTGTGAATGAGTTTAAGTTACAACCAGAGACTTAGAATGGGAAGGGTAGGTTGTTTACAATAGTTACAATACCCCAACTTCTTACCAAAGTATTGGAAGCCCAAAGATTTGATCAGGAGGTCGACTCTATCAAGGCCCGATTAGTGTCCAGGGAATCTTCACCGGATTGGACGCTCCATCAAGATGGTAGTTTAAGGTATTTAGGTAGAATTTTTGTGCCAAACATCGAACAATTAAGAGACGAAGTACTTAAAGAATTTCACCATTCAGTTTTTGCAGTTGATCCGGGAGGAAACAAGATGTACCAGGATCTTAAGCGATAGTATTGGTGGAGTGGAATGAAGAAAGACGTTGCTCAATTCGTATCTAACTGCTTGATGTGTCAGCAAGTGAAGACAGAACATCAAAAGCCGGCAGGGAAACTCCAACCTTTACCAATACCTAAGTGGAAATGGGAACACATAACAATAGATTTTGTAACGAGATTACCCCGGTCGCCGCAAGGCCATGATGCCATTTGGGTGGTGGTTGATCAATTAACTAAGACGGCACATTTCCTACCAATAGGACCAGCAGACACACTCGAATCTTTAAGTCGATTATTTATTCGAGAAATCATTAGATTGCACGGAGTACTAGTCTCAATAGTGTCAAATCGTGATTCTCGTTTTACGTCACAATTCTGGCAAAGTCTACAGAAAGCCTTGGGTACAGAGTTGTGTTTTAGTACAGCTTTCCACCCTCAAACTGATGGTCAATCAGAAAGAACAATTCAGACTTTAGAAGACATGCTTCGAGCTTGTGTGATGGACTTTAAAGGTAGTTGGAAGAAACACTCACCATTAGTCGAATTCTCTTACAATAACAGTTTTCAAGCAAGTATTGGTATGGCACCGTATGAAGCTTTGTACGGACGGCCTTGCCGGTCACCAATATGTTGGACAGAAGTCGGAGAAGCACCTCTTTTAGGGCCAGAGTTAGTTCAAGAAACTACCGAGAAGGTGAAACTAATTAGGCAAAGGCTTGAGAGCGCTCAGAGTAGGCAGAAAAACTATGCAGATCAAAGGAGAAGGCCTTTAGCATTTAAAGTTGGAGATCATATGTTTATGAAAATACAACCTCGCCGAGGAGTTGTTCGTTTCGGAAAGAAGGGAAAGCTGTCACCTCGCTTCAATGGGCCTTTCGAAATCTTGGACAGAATAGGAGAAGTGGCGTACCGTTTGACTCTACCGCCTCAACTGGCTAGAGTACATAATGTTTTCCACGTCTCTATGCTATGGAAATACGAGCCACACTCTTCTCACATTATCAATTCGGAGGAAATTAACCTTGATGATGATGTGACATTTGAAGAAAAGCCTGTCAAAATTTTAGATCGTCGCGAGAAGAAATTACGAGGTAAAACTATACCGTTGGTTCGAGTTCTCTGGAGACATCGTGAGACAGAAGAGTCAACGTGGGATCGAGAAGATATGATACGTGCCAATTACCCTCAGCTTTTCGAGTCTAAAGGTACGAATTAATTTTGAGGACGGAATTTTTTTTATGAGGGTAGATTGTGAAAACCCCACATTTAATTATTCTTAAAAGAAAATAAATAAATTAATTAATTAATTAATTTTGTCTACAGTCTATCTGAATTGTATATTAGTGTAAAAGTTAGTTTTAAATTGACTCAATTCAATCACTAACAAAGACATTATTAAAAATAATAATTTTGTGGATGTTCAATATTTGTTGTTTATAAATTATTTTAATTAGGATTCAATATAATAATTATTCTTACTAAATACCTTAGTTAAAAATCTTAGTGTATCAATTTTTAGAAACCCACACAAATACAAAAAAAAAAAAAAAGGAATCAAACCTTTGCAGAAATTCGGTGGAGGCTTTCCACATGTTGATTTGCATGCTTGTTTAGGGAAGAAGAGCTGATGATGCTCTTAGAATTGAAGGAAAGAAAACTTAGAATGAAGAGAGAGAGAGATTTGTGCAACAAGCATTGTATATATATATGCATGCAAGCATTCGGTGAGAGAGAGAGAGAGAGAGAAAAAAAAAAAAAAGAAATCCCTGAAGCAACCAAGCTTAGTGATAGGAGAGGAAGAAGAGTAGGAGATTAAGGAAGCCAAAATTCTCAACTATTTTGTCAACCTACAACTAAGTAAGAAAACTCTCTTAACCCTCTCATTTCTTTTTATTAGTGAAACTTTCAGATTACTTCCTTGTAATTAAAATGACTACTCATAAATAGAAATTTTATATGTATGTGTAGGAATTTTGTGATGAAAATAGTCTGTTTTGAATCTGTGAGAATGTTGCCCGAATTTTTAAAAAAATTTATACTCAAAATTTTCTAGATGATTTTTTCTACAAAGTTGTTGATAATGATGTCTAGTTCATCCAGAAATTTTTGGCAACAATTTTTGAGCTTTCTATGAATTTATACAAATTTTTAACTAAATCTGAAACTGTATTGAGAATAATCTGTTTTGAATCTGCCAGCATGTTTACCCGAATTTTTAGATAATTTTATACTCAAACTTTTGAGATGATTTCTTCTACAAAGTTGTTGATAATGATGTCTAGTTTATCCAAAAAAATTTGGAAACAATTTTTGAGCTTTCTGCGAATTTATACAAATTTTTAACTAAATCTGAAACTGTGTTAAGAATAATCTGTTTTGAATCAGCCAGCATGTTTACCCGAATTTTTAGATACTTTTATATTCAAACTTTCGAGATGATTTCTTCTACAAAGTTGTTGATAATGATGTCTAGTTTATCAAAAAATATTTCGAAACAATTTTTGAGCTTTCTACGAATTTATACAAATTTTTAACTAAACTTTGTTGAGAATAATCTGTTTTGAATCTGCCAGCATGTTTACCCGAATTTTTCGATAATTTTATACTCAAACTTTCAAGATGATTTTTTCTACAAAGTTGTTGATAATGATGTCTAGTTTATCCAAAAATTTTTGGAAACAATTTTTGAGCTTTCTGCGAATTTATACAAATTTTTAACTAAATCTGAAACTGTGCTGAGAATAATCTGTTTTGAATCAGCCAACATGTTTACCCGAATTTTTAGATAATTTTATACTCAAAATTTCGATATGATTTCTTCTACAAAGTTGTTGATAGTGA